TTGTGACTAAACTCATCTAACCGCTAATGATTTGGGATTCCCTATTAATGAAAAACCTGTAGGGAAAATGTTCCATTGATAACGACATCTGTGATAGGCGTTATTATCCATTTCTGGGTACCATTCAAGACATTGGTTGTCAATCGATTGAGCCATCAATGTGACACAATTTCGAGATGAAGAGCAATGAATCGAGACTTCTAATTATAGGCACAAGCAGTACCAGTGACACTGTGCCATTGGTCCTGTGTCAAATTTTAAGTTCGTAGAGGTATCAGTCGTTCATAAGATGAAGTAGCGGGTCAGCCGATTATTACAACTTCGTCGTAAGGAGGAAAATCCGGAATTAGCTGAGCTAGATTCTTAGTAGTACACTCAATCGGTTCCTATCATTGTATGCACTCAACTGTCTTCGTCATCGTCAAAAACTTAAAGCTGAATGCTATAGACGATCTACATAGATCTAAAGATCCGAATTTGATAGGTGTAAAGGGTATAACAGTTACGGTGGGTGGCAGGACGTTACTCCGCTCACAGAGAGTATGGCAAAATTTACGAAATCGATTGGACCTGGAGTTCAAACTTTGAAGCAGTATAGGAAGCAGGATACAAGCACGGATAAACTAGACCTAGCCCAAGGTAGGCACTGCTTGCTCAAAAATTGTATTTGGACATAGTTTATATAGTTTGCAGTACAGGAATTATAATAGGAACCATGATGGTAGATAGCAGAGCTAGGCTCCGCACACAGAAGACAGGGCGTACCTGAAAGCTGTCAATTTAGACGTTGAGGGTTCGAATTCGGTAAGAGCGTAGAAAGAAATTGATTGAAGATGGCAGAGATAAACTCCGCCCATAATGGGCGGGGCATGCTCGACATTGTCACTTTGGGGAATTTTAAGGGGGTAGCAGTACAAGAGGTAGGATCGCAACACCTATGGCATATAGCAGATCCATACCCCGCATACTATGGTCGGGGCAAGCCTGACAGTTGTCACAATTGTTTGGACCTAGAGCATTCAAGTTTGATAGTAGAACAGAAAGAAGATGGAAACGCTGATGGTAGATGACAGGAATATGTCTCACACAAAGTGGGCGGGACGTGTGTAAAAATTGCTCTGTTTGGCTTGGAGTGTTCAAACTTGGTAGGGGTGTAAGTGATGGAGAACAGGCGGAAAATGACACGACCCACCTCGCCCCTAGGAGGCAATGCGTGCGCGAAATTTGTTCAATTAAATCTGGAACACTCAAGAATTAATTAGATACTGAATTCCAGATGCTCTTCTAAGACTGTGTGATACAGGGAAATAGATCAGTTCAAGTAATCATCATATCCATGAACCTCGTGTCCTATATCCGTTTGCCCGGATTTTACCATTTTATCATTGAGACTTCTCTGTTTCATCGTTCTCGCTTGGTTTGGTACTCATCTTCCTGAATTTTGCGATCTCTATTGTTGTTTTCAGAATCAAGAACAATATATCGACATCAAAAATCGAATTCGAGAACATCGTCAGATGTGACATGAACGATTATGTCTGATAATTTTGTGATTTCTATTGTTGTTTCCAATATTAGGAGCAATGAATCGATTCAATTAGTGAGATTCATGAGCATCATCAGGTTTGATAACGTACCAAATTCATGGCTCTGATTATGTCGTTCTTCTCTCTATGAAGAGTGTATTACTTTTGTTGTGTTTGCTTTATTTTAAGCAATGCTTTTCTTGAATATTGAGAACTCTATTGTTGCTGTCAAATCCAGTATACCGATTTCGATCATCTTATCCGCTAGCGTCAATATGTATTGCATTACAGGTTCTCATTATGCTCTTCTCCTATTTTTCAGAGTTCTTTGTTCGATTTGCAATGTTTGCTCTATTCTGGCAGTTCCCTCTCCTCCTAGAATTCTGTGATCTCAGTTGTAGTTGTCATGAACATGAGCAATTTAACACTTTTGATAACCTATCTATTGAATACCAGCTTCTTTGCTTCCATTATGCCCTTTTCCTCTGTTTGGAGCTATGTATCCACTTTGTCGTGCATGCTCAATTTAGGTGGTTCTACATTCAAAATTTTGTGATTTGTACAGTTGTATCCAAGATCAAAAGTAGTATAGTAGTACATTAATGTTACACTAACGATGTAATCCAATATTATGTCAATCTCATCGTTATCCTATCTTATAAAGATGTGTATTTAACCTGTCGTGCTTGCTCAATTTTGAGCATTATTTTCCGATAATTTGTAACCTCCGTTATTTGGTCGAGATAAATGAAGCAATGAAATGATTCTAACAACTACAACGCCAGTGTTCTCAAATACTGCATGCCTTTGTTTTTTTTTNTTTTTTTTTCACCTAGAGCTTCGTAACTAATGTTCCATTGGAGCTAGAGGATTGAAGTTTGGTAGGATATCAGGTTGAAGAATGGGAAGCCGAAGGCAGACGACAGAACAGAAGTCTCTAACAAGGGTCCTGAGCAATAGTTGTTCCTTTAGGCTTAAAGCGTTTGAATTCGGAAAAGACACAGGGATTTGGCTAGGAACGCTGACTGTAGGCGATAAGGCCACTTTCCGCCACCAAGACAGGGCATGCGCGAACGTTGCTATGTCAGACATAGAACCTTTAATGAAACAAAAATCGCTGTTGGCAAGTAGGACCGTTTGAATTCTGCAGGATTACAGGTGACAGAGTGGAAACACTGACGACGGTGAATAGGATCCGTCTCAGCCAGCAAGAAACAGGGCGTAAGCGAAATTCTCTATTAGGGCATTCAAACTTGGAAGGGACACAGCGAAGCGGTTGGGAACATTGTTGGTAGGTGAAGCGACCTGATCACGCTCCCAGTAATGGGAAGTGCGCTGAATGAATGTTTCGCGTAATTTATAACACTGTTGCCGTGAGCCTAAAGCGCAAGAATTAGGTGGCGGAGGTGGCAGGATGGAAATAGCGGCCGTGGGTGTAGGACTAAAGCATTTTCAAGGAGAACGAAATGCTTGAATTCAGCTTAATTTGAATAAAAAGATAAAATGTCGAGCTATTTGGAAATGTGATCCAAAACTAGCATCTCCTATCAAAAAGAACTGTTCAGAAGGAGCCAGAGAGCGCTGGAGTGGACGGAATTCGAGTAAAAAATCCACGCCTATATACAAGAACATTTAAGAGATAGGAAAAAATGGGCAGAGTCCACTAGAGGAATAGATGAAAACTGAGGAATATCGAACAGCTCTCCTTCGCAGCTGTAATCGAATTTGTTGTGCTCACTTGAGCCCGGGTGTTTTATTCCAAAGAAGATTTCGTAATATCGATAATCATCGTTAAGGTTCCTACTGGGAAACCGTTTCCTATAAATATGTCCGTAGGCATCATCATGTATTGTATGGTAATTCCACTGCACAGACTTTGCTGTACGTCACTTCTTCAGAGCTCTTCATCATAATCGTTGCGCTCAATTATTTTCGTGCATCCTCTTCACTAGCATACTTTTCGATCTGAACTGTTCATTTAAGATTGACCAGAACAGATTACTCTGTGATCGTGAGGCCTCCTCATGTATTGTACGAGAATTTTGTGCCTCGATTGTGTCGAACTGCTCATTTAGAGCTATGCATAAGAGAACCATGTTATGCGTACTCTAACTTAGCTATTTCTTATTTCTTCTCCTTGAGGATTTTGTTGTCATTCTCGACATCGGAGCGTCAGATCAGTTTTCAAAATCGTCTTCATAGGCTTCATTTCTCTCTTAACACTTTTCAAGTTTCTTTTACGAGGCGCTTTTCATTTACGATAGCACTTTGGCAATTTGTATGATGATACAGAGTGAGTAGTGGTCATGTCAACAAGAAACGATAAGGGTTAACATAAACAACAAGAGGCATGAAGAGCTTAATCCTTATCAAGGGTCTTGGATAATTTATTATGTCTCATTGGGTGAGATGGGATGGTAGAGTAGGTTGAGGAAATTGTTTGAACAGAAGCGGATAAAGTCATCCATCAGTCACCGTCTACTGTTGCACTTTCTATTCAATTCAATATTGATTGCTGAAAATCTGTCCGATAGTCAGTACACAGAGGGTTTATGTGAGTGAATATAAAAAAAAGGCTACACAGAACTGACAGCGGTGTCAATATCATTAGAAAACATAAGTAAGCACCATTTAAGGTTTCATCTGATTGGTCATGTTGTTTGATGTTTGCAAAAGTCCTGTAATTGTAAACCCGATACCGAAGAGAATTGGACTCCGAACTGCTCATTGTTGTTGCTATGAGGATCAAGAGCAACAGATGATATTTATTAGCAGTAGCAGTAGGCGACAACAAATATTGGTTCCTTCGTCCCATTTATACAAAGCTACTCTACTTTCCGGCTCTCTTTGTAGTGCCCGAGTAATGACGAGGATCCCCTTTAATTATTTTGTGAGCAGTAATCATTTTCCTGCAAAAAACCAGACTATAAAAGCCCTTCTTTCAACACTCTTTTTGTTTCTCTAAGGCACTGTCGTTCATCACATTGTTACGGGTATACTATTAGATCAGATCCTGAGAGATTCCAACGCTTACAATGGACCAACAAAGACGTAGAAGAAGGCCCAGGATCTACAACAGTGAAAGTGAACGCCTCCGTGCAAGGCGACAGCGAGAAACACCCCAAGCTGCTCGACTCGACACCGAGTCAGCACGCCAGCGACAAAGGCGGCAGAACGAGGACTCGGAAGACAGAAATGCGAGATTGCATGGTAATGCCGAGCGTCAGAGAACCAGACGTCAACGTGAAACATCTGAGGATCGGAGCAATCGCTTGCAAGAAAACGCTCAGAGGCAGCAACAAAGGCGCGATTCAGAAAATTTCGTCCAGCGAGCTACAAGGCTAGAGAGAGATGCTCAATCGAGGCGGAGTAGACTTCAGTCACAGAATGTCGAAGAACGGCAGACTAGGTTGGGAGATAATGCTCAACGTCAGCGAAGGAGACGTGAATTAGAAAGCGCTGAGGATCACGTTGTAAGATTGGAAGAGAACGCTTTACGTCAGCGAAGAATACGCGATCTAGAAACCGTTGAGGAGTATGCTGTTAGACTGGAGGAAAACGCTCGACGCCAACGAAGAAGACGTGATTTAGAGAATGTTGAAGAACACGTCGTGAGGCTGGAGGATCAGCGTCAGCGTCAGCGAAGAAGACGAGAAGTGGAAAGCTCTGAGCAGCGTATGACCAGATTGGGTGAGAACGCCTTACGACGGCGGAGAAGACGTGAACAGGAGGGAGAACAAGAACGAGCAATCCGATTGCAAGCGGACTCTCGATGGCAACAGCGAAGAAGACGCTCAGATACTGTTGAGGAAAGGATGATAAGGTTGCAATCAAATGCTCAAACTCAACAAAGACGGCGCGCGTCTGAGGACACACAAGAGCGAACGGCCAGGTCCCGAGTTGAGGCCATACGCTTGCAAAGGAGGCGCCACTTAGAGGGTACAGAAGAGCGGGCCATACGGCTCAATGAAGATGTTGAGCGGCATCAGCGACGTCGCTTGCTCGAGAGTGAACAGGAGCGGTCGATTCGACTGCAAATGAATGCTTTAGCAAATCGTCACCGACGCAATCAAAATAGAGAGTCTGTTGGAGTAGCATTAGGCACTCGCTTAATTGAAGTTGCCTACCTTGGAGAACTAAATCAACGATGCACAGATTGCGGAGTATTGCATTTTCTCTGTGAAGTCAAGCCCGACCATCCAGGACAATTCCGAGAGTGTTGTGACCTAGGGAAGGTCACATTGAATTTTTTCCAGAGTTTCCCAGAGAGTTTGCGAAGATTATTCGTTCCAGAGACTAATCCTACTAACGAGATGCGACGTCTCCGGAAAAACTTCATGGAGAACATAAGGAGTTTCAATTCAGCTGTAGCCATGGCCTCAATGGGTGCGCAAGTTGATACCCTGCAAGGACGTGGACCCTACTGCTATCGAATTCACGGTCAAATTTATCACAGGCTAGGTCCTCTCCATCCGAGAGATGGAGAGCTACGTCAATACGGCCAAATATATATATTAGATACTGAACTTGCTGCCCAGCAACGTCTTGGAAACGCGAGAAACGCCGAATGTAGTCCAGAGCTGATGCGTTTTCTAAGTGAATTGCTTTCAAGTATCAACGTATACGCTCAATCGATCAAAATGATGCATGAAGTGGAGCAGGCGGAAATTTTATTGGCTGCTCAAGAAAATCGTACTCCATTCAAAATTCGCATGATTTTTGAAGAAAGCGCTGAAAGGGGCTTGGAAAGACGGCAATATGATCTTCCTACTGCAAATGAAGTTGCCGTGATTTACGTAGGCGAAGATAACGATGTGCCTGCGAACAGAAGTCTTGCGGTTCATTTGCGTGGCTAGCGAAGAGCTAACGAATATACGCGATATCGACAAGATATGTGACCCGTTGACGTATCCGCTCCTCTTTCCTACCGGAGAGGGTGGTTGGGACCCCAGCATGACAAATACAATAGGAGGACGCATCACTCAAAAAGAATATTATGCGTATTTGTTTTCAGTTTGTGACGAATTCAATCCGATTCTGTATGCAGGAAAATTATGTCAGCAGTTCGCCGTCGATGCATACGTAAAAATAGAACAAAACCGTCTCAACTTCCAGCGGAGAAATCAGCTCACATTGCGTCGTGAAACTCTCAGAGGGCTGCAAGATTATTTAGCTGGAGATGATGATAATGGATCGCCCGGAAGTCGCATAATTTTATCGTCGTCCCATCAGGGTAGTCCACGTGCCATGCAGCAGGCATATCAAGAGCAATGGCGATTGTGGCTCGGTATGGAAAGCCAACGTACTTCTTGACGATGACATGTAATCCTCAATGGAGAGAATTGAGAGAGAATCTCTTCCCGGGCCAGTCAGCGTCTGATCGTCCTGACTTAGTAGCGCGTGTATTCAACGCAAAACTACAAGAGCTCTGCACTGATTTATTCAAAAGGCATGTTTTAGGAGAAGTGCAGGCGTATGTCTATGTGATCGAATTTCAAAAGCGCGGTTTACCTCATTGCCATATGCTTCTCATCATGAAAGATGAGTGGAGAGTGCACAGAGCAGAAGACGTTGATAGAGCTATTTGTGCCGAGATTCCTAATAGAGAATCAGAACCTGAACTGTACGCCGCTAATACTTCCTATATGATACACCGACAGTGCGGATCTTCGGATCCCCGTGCACCCTGCATGCAAGGGGGTTCATGTTCTAAGCGATTCCCCAAATCGATTCGCGACAGAACCTCGGTAGACGTTGACGGCTACCCCAATTATCGGCGTCGTAACCTCTCACCAACCGAAATTAATGGCATTCCCTATGGGGACGAGTGGGTAGTACCGACGAACCCGTACCTTATTCTGAAATTTGACTGTCATATAAACCTAGAAGTATGGGCATGATCTCCGCTGTGAAATACCTCTACAAATACATTTATAAGGGTCCAGATCGTGCACGAATCAGCATTGAAGTAGAAGGAAATACGGATGAGAACCAGAATGTGGATGAGATTAGGCAGCATCTCAATACTCGCTACGTGTGCGCCCCTCAGAGCATATATAGGATTTTCGGTTACCCTATGCAAGACAAGTCACACACAGTTTATCGGCTGGCTGTCCATTTACCCGAATTTCAAACGGTTCATTTTGTTCACGGAAGAGAGGAGCATTACGTGGAGCAAGCTGAGCGGACTTTCACTACTTTAACTGCGTATTTCGAGCTGAACAGGCGATATGCTCAGGCAGATGTTGAAGTTAGTTCTGATTTTGCGATCGACGCCAGAGAACTTTACTACTATCAACTTCCTGAGTACTTCACGTTCGATCGACGCAGAGGTTGGTTACCGAGAAAACGCGGAGGGAAGAAAATTGGCCGGATGTATGCAGTTTCACCTCGAGATAATGAGCGCTATTGTCTCAGGATTCTTCTTCTGAACACTAAAGGAAAGACTTCTTTTGAAGATATACGTACGGTGAACGGCATCACTTTCGATACCTTTGCCGAGGCGGCTAAACAGGCTGGCTTCCTAGACGATGATAGATATTTCCGTCTCAGTCTGCAGGAAGCCATTCAGTACCAATCTGCGGCAGGCATAAGGAGCTTTTTTGCTTGCTTACTTTGCTATTGTGAAGTGGTTCAAGCGCAGGATTTGTGGAATGAGTTTGCAGACGCAATGTCAGATGATTATATAATTCAAGGACTGGATCGAGAACGCGCTGTAGCACTTGCATACTTTGATGTACTGGATAAAATGACTTTGATAGGAAAAGATCTTAGGACTGTTGTTCCCCCTCCTGTTGCCGAGCGCCCTGAAATAAATATTGTGAATGTGGATTATGAGGAACATGAAAGGATAGGCCTGCTTCGGTATGAAAGAATCAATACAAGACAAAAAGCCGCGGCTGATGACATCATCGATGCATTGGACAGACGTCAAAACCGATGCATTTTCATAGATGGTCCAGGAGGAAGTGGAAAAACCTACTTATATAACACCGTATATGATATTGCTATTGGACGAAGAAGAAAAGTGGTGTGCGTCGCATGGACAGGAATAGCTGCTAATCTGCTGCCAGGAGGACGTACAGTGAATTCACTGTTTAAGTTGAATATTGGAGATGAGAACCGGAGCTCCTCAATGAGGCGGCAACAGAAAGAAGCTAGAGAGCTGATGTCAGTGGACATGGTAATCTGGGACGAGATATCGATGGCACCGAAGGCAGCACTAGAAGCAGTGGATGCACTTTTAAAGGATATTATGCAGAATGACCAACCATTTGGAGGAAAAGTTATGGTCATTGGAGGAGATTTCCGCCAAGTTCTGCCAGTCGTTGAGCATGGTCAAAGGGAGGATTTTGTTGGAGCGTGCGTTCATAGATCATATCTTTGGTCACTGTTTTCGATTCATCGCCTGCAAATTAATATGAGAGCAAAGGAGGCTGGAAGAGAATGGAGTGAACATCTTCTCGAAGTAGGTAATGGCGAATGCAACGATGCCGATGGTTGTGTTAACGTGCCGGACGATATGATGTGTAATTCTGACATAGTTACGGAAATTTTTGGAGCTGAACTGGATCCGAACAATACAGCCGAATTGTGCGAGTGTGCCATTTTAGCACCGAAAAATATTCACGTGCAGAGCCTTAATGACACAACCTTGAACCGTCTTCACGTTGAAAACGCAGGAGACCAGCGCATCTACAAGAGTGTCGATGAAGCCATTTATTCCGAAGGACGTAGAGATCTACATTTCCAACAAGAGTATCTGAACTCTTTGACACCCACGGGAATGCCACCACATGAGCTACGTCTCAAAAAGGGTTGTGATGCTCCTCAGAAACCTTGACGTTGCAAATGGACTTTGTAATGGAACAAGACTGAAAGTAGAAGTGCTAGGACGTTTCACCATCGGTTGTAAATTCATCTGCGGGGATAGAAGAGGACAACTCGCAATCATTCCTCGAATAGACAATTACTGGGATAAACGAACACCTTTTAGACTTCGCCGACGGCAATTCCCTGTGCGACTAGCATTCGCTATGACTATAAATAAAGCACAAGGACAGTCATTCAATAAAGTAGGTGTTTATCTGCCAGAAGACGTCTTTTCACATGGGCAGTTGTATGTCGCTCTATCACGTGCAAGGTCCCGCGAAGGAATTAAAAATAAGACACCCAACAATAAGATAAAAAAATTGTATTCAACGAAGTGCTTCTATGAACTATATTTGGAATTCTTGAAGCCAGGACAGATATCCATTGCAAAATACCATCAAACAACTTCAGAAGCAAATGCGGAGAATCTAAAAGGTTAGACACCGACCTGACTTTCACAAGTGCATATTGTTCTCATTTCAAAGGAACCGTACTCTCAAAGCAAACCAACTACGGGATCACAATCTCGAAGATTGGCCATAAGGTAAATATAAATATTCAAACAAAAAATAAAATCTTAATCTCCTATCCCTCTAAGGTCTGAATACGACTACACTGTACGTTATCACGTACGATCTCAGATCTGCATATAAACCACTGAGAACGACCAGCACATACACGACAGTGTAAAGAAGTGTTGGAAATTTGGTGAGCAATGCACTACATGCTAACTATGACTATCCCCCAAAGTTCTCTCCAGTTCTTCTCTTCTTCTTTTCTTAAAAAACACCGTTCATTCCAGATCCACCTAACTTCATATCATTCGCCACCCTATGAGGTAAGGTAAGAACACGCCGTCCTCCGCAACTTAGTTAACTTCAAGACGAAGTCGAGACCGCTTATCTGACAGCACCAAAAACGCCCGAGATTTCGGAAAGGTACACTTGATAAATAACCAGTAACAAGTCTTAGCATTGAATGAGAGAGAATTTTACAGGGCTCACTGCTTCTAGATGGGGTGGATGTAGTTGAGTCCTTAGCGATTCCACCTGCTATTTCAGTTGTCCGAAACCTCGAGCAGGTATGCATTTCATGCGTGCTTCTCTCTTTCTCACAGCACGCCTTCCTAAACAGATCCGCTCTTTCCAGATCAGAATGCGTTCTTTGACTGCAGTATGAGGTGAGGTGAGGTGAGGCGAGGAAACGCCGCTCGCAGAGGTCCTGCCAACTTTTCGCGCCCACAATATATGCTGCCTTACGAGGTGAGGTGAGGTGAGGAAGAGATGTTCTCCGCAAGTCCAAGACGAGGTCGAGACCGCTTATCTGACAGTACCAAAAACGCCCGAGATTTCGGGAAGGTACACTTGATAAATAACCAGTAACAAGTCTTAGCATTGATGGAGAGAGACGGATGGCTGAGTACGCGGATAGGACCCTTCCTAAACGAACTAAACTTCTTCCAGTCCGCCATGAAAGAC